GGCCCTGCCCAAATTTTGCTTATGCAGCACTGGCCAGGGCCAGCCCTGAGCAGAGCAGACAATGAGGAACAGTCTTGCGGGGTGTACGTATGGGGATGGCGTGGGAAGAGCCCCCAGCTTCTTGTAGAAAGGGCATGGGCAGCCTCGATCACAGATCCCGCGTCCCCAACAAAGGAGGGGGCTCAACACTGCACCACCAGCACCACTTCCCAGCTCCTTACAGCCACAGTGCCAACACCATAAAAATTTGAGAACCTCTGACCTCCCACAAACCCCCCCCTGAGCATTGCAAAGCCCCATTCCCACCCAGCCAGGGCAGAGCACGTGCAACCCACGGTGCAGCCCGCACCGGCACGTGGCACCGGCACCCTCCCAGCACCCAGCGTGCCGCAATTTGGGAAGCTGGGATGGGGTGCTCCCAGAAACCCCCTCTCTGCCAGCCTCCCCAAAGCTCTGCAGCTCCTGCCCCTCCACCAGCCACTCCACTGAGCTTTGCAAGAACAGGAAGGGTCCCCAATGGTTGAGGACCCCTGGGTGCTGTGAGGTTGCCCCACACTAACTGAGGTCCCAGTGGGGCCCCGCAGCAGGTCCAAAAGCAGTCACTAGGTTTAAAGCTGTGGCAGAAGGGAGGACAAGTGTTCCCCTGTCTGGGGATCTGGCAGAAGGGAGAGGCACAGGGGACGCAGCAGAGACTACGCTATGGAGCGGGGATCTGGCGGTGAGCGGCATCCCCAGAGCACGACCACAATAAGGAGCGTCCCAGCGTCGGTGCTGGGCAGTCCAGCTCCCGAGGTTGTCCTCACAGGCCGAGGAAATCCTCCTTCCGGTACCCCTTCTGCAAGGAGACAGGCCACCCGTCACACCGTGGGGACACCAGAGTTGTCACCTTTCCTGCCCGAGGACACCCCTGCCCGCGCTTTGCTGGGCAGTGGGAATGCAAGCACAAACCCACTCCACTCTGGCACTGACAGGGCCACACTGTCCCCACATTGGGCACGTGGCTGTCCCAACCCCGCTGGTGCAAATGTCACCACAAGGACGATGGTCTGGAGACATCCCCACCAATTCAGGAGGTGGAGGTGTGGAGTTGGTGCCCACCATATGCCTGGAAGCATTTAGGTGGCATCGCTTTCCAGGGTGAAGCCCCAGGGATCCCTTGGAATCCACCCCAGGATCCCACCAGCTGGAGGAAGCACGGGGGGTTGGTACGTACCATCTTGAAGTCCCGGTGGAGCTTGGTGTATTGCCACATGTTGCCCAGGAGGCTGGCTGCTGCTCTGGAGGACTTCTCGTTGTCCGAGCTGGGACAGGGACAGGATGCAATGAGCTCTGGGTACCACTGGACATTGAATGGTGCACACCAACCCAAGGATACCACCCTAGATGGGCTCAGAGGGGCTGAAGACTTGGTGCTGGTGGGAAGAAGCAGAGGACTAAAGGATGTAGCCCATCACAGTGGGCAGGGTGGCAAGCACTTGTGACAGGAGAGGTGAGAAGCACCCAGATGGGAAGAAGTGATGGGCAACCCCATGGTGGGATGCCCTGAGGAGAGGGCAAAGGGCTGGACGGAGGCTATGAGGCCACTCTGAGCTGGTCTGGGGGCTCCCAACACCAAGCCTTGGGAAGGGAGACTGGTTGTGACCCTCTTCCACCTCACTGGACCAGGGGAGGAAGGGGAGAGCAGAGTTGGACACCAGGTCTGAGCTGGGACACAGAGCAGACAGGGAGCTCCCACCTGTCCCTTCTCTTTTTGATGTAGAAGAGCTTCCTGAGGCCATCAAAGTAGACAATGTCGCGGGCAGCCATAGGGCTCTCCACCACCAGGTTGTTGAGGACTGCAATGATGTTCACGATGACATCAGCCGGTGGCGCCTTGTCTCCGATGCTTCCCGGCAGCTTCTCAATCAAGTGGCTGACCACCTTGGTCGCTGGTGGACAAAGGCATCACATCAAGGCTGGTAGCCAGACCCAGGGGACATGCAGCAGCCTGGGGATGAGCCCTGCAACCTCCTGGGAGCAGTGAAGGGACAGAGGGTCCAGCCAAGGACCCATGGGGCAGCATGAGGGACACCTTCAAGCCCTGGAGAAGCAACCTCTCTGCTGAGACTCCTTGGCATGTAGGAGAGGAGTTGGGGAAGGGGGCAAAGCCAGGTGAGATGGTGGGGTTGGAGGCAGAGCAGAATGTGTTGGGGGTGTTTGGTTACTGGGGATCGACCAGCCACTGTGCGCTCAGCTGTGAGCAGGGAAGCAGCAGGCAGGAAAGTGCTGAGACGTGGCAGGACGTAACTGCAGGCCACATCAAGGAGGAGAAGGATGGAAGGTGTCTGTCAGGCTCCTTCGCGCAGCCCCAGCCCTGCCTATCCCCTCCCTGGTACTCACACATCTCGTCCTTGTTGCGAGCGTGGCGGGAGAGGTTGCGGATGAGCCCTGTTAAGGAACGCAGCTGGTGGTGGTCGGCGGTGCGGACGCGGTCCAGCACGGGGTTCAGGATGCGCTCCTGCTCCAGGGCCAGCCGGCTCAGCACGCCTGCCCACTGCCAAGGCAAATGCCCACTTGGAGACACCCACCAGAGACCCACTGGCTGCCTCCTCCTCTTGCTCAATGGGGCCAGGTCGGGGTGACCCATGCCCAGGTGATGAGTAGGACGATGACCATGTCCTCCACCCAGGAAAGGCTGACACCAACCTGCAGGAGGCTTCATCCCCTCCCTGGGCATGGCTGTGACTGCCCAGGTGGTGGAGACAACCAGGCCAGACAGGACAAGTCCTGGGGGATATTCCCTTCCCATGCCCTCACCCTGCGGTCCCCGGCGGTGATGTTCTGCAGGGCGCCCGAGGCGGCCTCCGTCGTGTGCTTGTTGAGTTCGCAGCGCTGCAGCAGCCGGTTGTAGATGCCCACGATCTGGGGGTTCCAGAGCCACTCCATGCCCTTGGGGTCCTTGGAGACCTCCGTGAAGGTGACGATGTCTGCGTTCAGGTAGTGCTGCGGGGATGAGGACGGCACTGTTAGACTCATCGGGGATGTCCCCTTTGCAGCATCCCTCACTGCTGGCATCCCCTTTTCCCTGCACGCCTGGCCTCAACCATTGGGCAGCTCCAGGCTGGCAGGGACCTCGCAGGTCATCCCAGCTGCGTTGTGTCCTGTGGCACAGCAAAGCTGTGGTTTGGCACCATGATTCACCCCACAACCCTGATTCACCCTCCGCTGAGCTCACTTGCATGTCCCACCCATCAGCCAAGGCCCGCGTCCACCTCCACCCCAGCGTCCCCTACACCGCCAACTGCTTCCCAGTGCCAACCCCGCCCCGGGTGACACGGCTGTCATGGTGCCCACCATGTCCCAGCCACTGACCTCTCGTGCTTTCTTGCTCTGGGGGCTGAAGCAGCCCACCAGCTCCCCCGTCACCATACCGCTGTTGTTCCTCCTGTGGCCTTCCAGGCGCTGGAGGGAGGATGGGGGCATTTCATCGTACAAGCGGTAGGAGAGGTTGCGCAGGACGCAGACGGCGTTCTCCACACTCTGCAAGGAAAGACAGAGCATGGGGGGTTCAGCCCTTGTGCCTCCCTGCCAGGGCATCTCCAGCTGGCACATCCCCTGGGGCGTGATCCCATGGGACTTTGTGGACAGAGCCACCTCAATGACACCAGCAGTGTCCCACTGTGCCCAGTAAGCTTGGATGGAGCCAAGTTGGTTTTCCCACTATCACATCAAGATGTGCCTTTGCACCACGATGGCCAAGTGAGAGGGAGGGAGCAGCACCCAAACCCTCCCAGCACCCAGCTCCTGGATCTCACCTTGTCCTCCGACTTGCCCACTTCAAGGGAGCTGTTGACGTAGTGGATCATGGAGTCCACCAGCCCGTGGCACTCCCGCATCTTCTGCCGGGTCTGCTGGCTGGCAGAGCTGAGATTCCTGCACGGTGAACACGGGGCAATCACCTCGAGAAAGGGTTTTCCTAAGGCCACCTCCCTTCCTGCCACTGGGAGGGCAGTCAGTGTCTGTCCCATGGGGTTGACCAGGCTTTGCCTTGATGCACAAGCACTGAAAGGGTTGGGGACCCCAGAAACAAGCCCAGGGACCTTGCTCCCTATATTTGCAACACAGATGGTGTCTCTGCCTCCACCCAAATCTTTACCCAAACTGGGAGGACCAAAGCCAGCCCAGAAGCAAGTACCTGAGGAAGCCTGTGGAGTTGTAGAAGATCTCTGCCTCCGAAGGGTTCTGCTGGATGACACCTGAGCCCCCCAGCCCAGAGAGGGGGACCAGGACCAGGTCTGTGAGCTGCTCCAGCGTGTCCCGGGCCAGGCGATCCTTCAGGTTGTCACTGGAGGAGAGATTCCACAGAATCCCTGTGCAGAGGGGGATCTTCAGTCACAGGGATGGCTGGAGAGCACGTCCACCCCGACCCACCTCCCCAGGGGGCTCACACCAACCACCCACAGCTGGGAACAGCCATGGGACAGAGTGGGTGACAGCGATGCAAAGAAGTCATCCCCATGAAGTGTCACCCCAGCTTTACTCGTGGAGTGGGAGGATCACGTGCCACCCCTGGCAGAGGAGAACCTCTGCCCACCATCCCCAACCTGTGACGTTCTTGCGGAGCTCATCATCGGGCTCCCGCAGCGTCCGCATGAGCTCGTAGATGCCGTTCTCCTCCACCAGCGCCAGCTTGTTCTCAGCGTTGTCGTAGATGAGGTTGCGCATGGCGCCCGTGGCATGGCGCTGCACCTCCTGGTTGGGGCTGTTGAACAGCTTCACCAGCTTGGGCATGGCCTGGAGGCTGCGGGCCTGGAGGGAAGAGCCAGGTTGAGACGTCCGGTCGGGTTGAGACATCCAGCTGCTCAGGGCTGGGGCTCGTTCTGTCTCCTCCACCTTCCCAGGGGTGCCTCACCATGACAGAGTGGCTGGTGACAGCCCCTTCCCCTTTGGCTCCTGGGTGCTCACCTGCTTCTTGGCATTGCTGTCGCTGTAGCATTTGTGCTGGAGGTAGGCAGCACCCAGGACCTGCAGGTTGGGGTCGCTGGCTATCAGGTATTTCACTGCAGAGGGCAGGTCAATGTCATCAAACCTGAAAGCCACAGGCAGGTGATGAAGAGCCCAAGCAGAGCACCCCACAGAGGTACTCTACCCTCTGCAACCCACCACGTCCTGCATCTCAGAGTAGACCCATCGACCCACCTCCCTCACCACCACACTCTTGGGGCATGGGACTCCAGACCCGGCTGAACGAGCATCTTCCTACCCTTGTGTCTCAGGATGTGTCCATGGGAGGAGCTAAGGCCACATGCAGGACACACTTAGAGGTCAACCCATGCCATGGTCCATCAGTATGGGGCCAAACTGTGCCCACCATCTCACCCCTCTTCCTGCATCCCTCGCAGAAAGGTAACACCAGGCAAAAGGTGGTTTTGCCCTCAACCAGCCAAGTGACTAAGACTGGGACAAGGACTACGCCAGTGCCAACTGGTCCCGCTGGCACTCACCCTCCTGACTGGTGGCTGAGCAGTGTGCTGTGCCCATTGTACATCTCCATGTTGCGCTGGTCCTGGAGATGGTGATGGCTGGACTCGGCCAGGCTGCGCACAGAGGGTGCGCGGGAGTTGTGCTCCATCATCCCCATGTAGGAGTTCCCGACACCCGCCTGCGAGACTGCCTGCATGTTGCCGAAGGAGCCAGTGCTGAGCCGTGAGCGGTTGTTGCTCTGGAAGCGCTGGAGGGTGCGCATGGCGGGTGCCCGGATGGTGC